AATCCGACATACAGAAGTCCGTCTCTGTATCCGGCCAAACAATTCTAACTAAAGATTACATTAAGTGAAGCAATCAATGTTGAATCCTCTAACCACCTAGTTCCGGTTTAAGCAAGCAACCTAGAACTAATCAAGCAATGACAGACTCAATTTCACGCAGACGGAACACAATAGAAATAAATTATATTTATTTAAAATTCTAAGTCACGTACGAATCGTTCGGAAGTAGACCCTCACCTTAGCAACAGGGGAAAAGTGGTCTCTATGAACTCCAGCTGCTCAAATAGATTCCAAATCTGAAATCAGATCGAAATTCCGAGTCAGTTTGACCTTCGAACGGTCGAAAACGGACAATTACGGAAAAGTCAACTCGCAGGTCAAAGGTCAACCCGGTCAACCTTGACCCAAGCCGGTCAACCCTTGACCAAATTGAAATCGAATTGGACCAACCGGTTTTCCTTAACCGGATTCGATTTCAATTGAACCAGACTAATCCGATTTCAATTCGGTTTATCCTTAACCGAAATTCAATTAATTTAATTAACCGGTTTACCCTAACCGATTTCTAATTAATTTTAACCGCCGGTTTAAGTAAACCAACAACTAACCAGATTTGACCAACCTAAACCGGTTGACCGAGTCAACGGTTGACTCGCCGAGTCAACCCGGCCGAGTTGACTGAGTCGCCGGCGAGTCACCGGACTCCGGTCACTGGTCCGGCGAAAAATGCGGCGGCTTACCGGCGGTCACCGGCGGCGGACGGACGGCGGAGGTGCGGCGGCTCCGGCGAGGCTCCGGCGGCGCGTGCGGTGGCTCCGGCGAGGCTCCGGCGGCGCGTGTGTTTCACGCGCGCGCGGAGGACGATCTTCGACGGACGCGTGACGGCGGCTCCGGGCTCCGATTGCGGCGTTTTTGGGGTCTACGGTTTCGTCTCGACGAGTAGAACATGATAGTACTCTTGCATTCACGAGATTCTCAACGGTTAGGAAGTTATGGACGTTTTACTAAACGGATCAAAACTAACTTAAAAACGTGGCGGTTTCCGGTGGTTACCTAGGCTGGGGGTCGGCGGTGACGAGCTGGACGGGTACTCTGGTCGTGGTGTCTCCGGTGACGAGCTCAGACGAGTCTATCTCTACAAAACTAAACACTCTTTCTCAAACTCTCTCTCCAAACTCTCTCTCTCTTGCATGAATTTTCTGAGAAAACAAGTTGGTGAAAATAAAAAAAAAAAAAAAAAAAAAAAAAGGTGGTGAAAATAGCTTTTATAGCTACTACCTTTGGCCAATTCGGATGGGCCTGAGGCTTGGGCCGAAAATGATGAATTTTGTGGGTTTGGGTCTTGACAGGATTATTCCCTGCAAACATCACAGATCGATGGGAAGACATTGGCCCCCATTCATCAGCTGTTGTTAATGCTCTTGACTTATGGACGAATATACAAACCATGGAATCTCATTATGCATTACTATTTACTCACACCTGAAAGCTAATGATGATTTTTTTTTTATAATTGCAGCATTCAACTCAGTCAGGTGTTAAACTTTCAATATTTTAAATATTAGACTTAGTTTTGTTATGTGAATATAAAATACTCAGAATTATTAAAAGTATATAAATATGTACTCTGTAGAATATAGTATATCCGAGGAGATAAGGTTTGTTTTTTTGTTTGAAGGTTGCATGTAGATTTCCACATTTTGCAGTAAATTACTTTTATTAGTTTTCAAATTATAAACTTGAATTTAGAATTAAAAACTGTCTCTTAGGTTGGAAACCATAAAAATAAAAAACAGTCTGGATAATGTTAAAAGTTGTTCTTACATGTGTTTCTTCGATTGTTATTTTCTGAGCTAAGGTGTAGATGAGAGGTTTAGCTCTAACCCATGTATTGGACCTCACTCTTATATTTTCTTTGAAGTCGTCGATGATTCTTATTGTTTTGTTAAAGTAAGATGGGAAACACATATCTTGAGAAAGGAATTATCTTCTCTTTTTTTTGTTAATAAGGTTTTTCTACCTTTATATTTTTAAGACAAATGGCTTTGAGTTTTCCATGTATATACTTATATGATGTGCACAATGAAAGCCAACACCACAAATAAACCTATTGGGGAGGGAAAACCATATAAAATAAATGTTGTAGAATATTATTATGATCTTGAGAGTTATTTGGATTTCGCTTTGCCATGTGAAACAAAGTAATAATATCCTTCTCATGCCTTTCCCTCATGATCATTATTCTATGAATATAATTGTTTTTCTTATCACCATTATCTTAATATATATATCCATATAGATTTTCTAATAACCATATAATGAAAAGCAAAGTAGGCGAGAAAAAAGATTACAATTTATAAAACTACAAATAAAAAATAGAAACTCTGTACTGATTCTAAAACAAAAAACGAAATAAAAATCAAACAATTTCTTATAGTGAGAACTCAAATAGTTAAAGATGAGGAATTGGATTATAACTAAGACTTAATTAGTTTTATTCTTTCTATTTTACATATATTAGATATTAAAAGCAACAAAGTTAAATTTTATATAGTTTCAAAGTCATAAATTAGTTTAGTTTTCAATGCTGTAAAAATATACATGTATCTATACATAAATAAAATAATATATGAATTTATATTTTGTTTAAGTTTTATGCATAAAACCCGGGCATAGCCCGGGAAAAGGTTCTAGTAGTTATAATTATTACCTCTTACTCTCTTAGTGTAAGAGTACGTGTGTACGAGTGGCCTTTATAGCCCATTACACTAATGAATTAGGTTAATGCCTTAACATGATTCATTATAAAAGTGCACATGTTGACGATTATAATTACAGACTAGGATAAGACCCGCGCCTTGCGCGGGATGAAACTATTATTTTTATTATGTTTTGAAAAATGAAACAATAGTTCGGTTTCATTCGGATTATAGGTGTTCAATCCGGATATCGGGATTCGGTTCGGCTCGATTTTTTGGTATTTCAATTATTAAAATATGACTACTATTCTAAATCTATATGTACTTCAGTTTGATTTGGTTTATATACCATCGGTTTTCAGTTTATTCAATTTTATACCAAAAACATAATTATTTAGTTTGAGATCATATTATATATTATACAAATATATAATATGATCATATTTAGAGTCATATTGTCACAGAGTCATTTATTAAAAAATATTATATATTTAAATAAAAGAATAAAAAACAAAAAGGCTTTCTATCATCTAATAAAATGATCAAATCTAGAATTAATATCAAAACACTAAATTTTGAAAATAAAAATAAAAAACAAAACAGAAGCATGAAAGAAAAGTTTTTATATTCTTCCATATTTAGTGTTCATCAAACCAATATGTCTTCGATCGAACACAACTCTGTTTGTTTAAAGATAAAAAAAAGTTGTAAAGAATTTCAACTAATTGTTGTCCATCAAATTTATAATCTTTACTTCAATTTAGTTACTGTTAAAAAAGCAAAAGATCAAAATAAGAAGTCTCAGATGTAATAAATTGTTAGCTATTTACAAATTATAATTATAGTTCAACTCATGTAACAAATAGATATTCATGCGTCGTTATAAATATTTACATGTTTCAGTTTAATCGGTTATAAATCAAACCATATCCAAATCCTATGGTTTTTATAAAATTACATCCATTCGGTTTGTATGGTATATACCCATATTATCGATTGTTAATATCTTTTAAAAATATAAAATTAAAAAAAGAACTAAGATATTTAAATCATTGATAACAAAAAATTTCAATGTGAAAAATTTAATAAGTTTATAATTTATAAATGTTCTTGAAAATTTATTGAAAATTTTGAAATTAAAATATTTATGTAATCTTATATGGTATATAGTTTAATATGTATATATATTTGTTTTATTATTGAATGATACTTTTTACTTATATGGTTTTAAAATCATGTATATCTTTTTGTAATAAAAATGTTAAACTATTGATCATTAATTTTTAACATAATAATTTTAATAGTTTAGTTATTTATTCTCGTTTTTTAAAATTCAAAATATAACATATAAGAAAAAATCTAAATTTTAATTTTATAATTAATTTGATTGTTTAATTTATTTAATAATATAAAATTAAAGAAAAATGATAGAGAATATATAAACTGTTATCAAATATTTATTATTAGAATCATTAAGTGTCATATATATATATTAGTCATTTATGGTAATTTCGTAGGTTTTATTTATGGAAAGAAAATAAAATAGTAATTATATATAGGGGAACAATCATAAATGCTTCTAGCATAAATATCATATCATCATATCATATAATTTGACCAACGAATGTATCTAGCGACATATAAAAATCGAATGTGGACCTACTTATTTTTCAATTGAATGTAATTGACTATCTAATTGAGTGACACCTAAGCATGGGGTCTTTTTTAATTATTACAAAATTGAGGTTACAATTTTTTAAATGTTTCTCCTTTAATATATAAGGGATACAATTCATTCACCACAGCAAAACCTTAAACTATAACGAGACAAAACGTTTGTGAACCTTTTGAGATTTGATCTCAACGGTACTAGCATCCCGTTATGATCCAGTGTATGTGCGTGTGGATACCGGTAGAAACACGACAACCGGAGTGCTATAAATCTCAACTTGGTTTATTCATCTTTCCGCTGCAGAATAACCTGGTATATTTGAAATCCTAAGATCTAAATCTATATCAATATTGACATGAGATTCTAGGCAAACTGAATTTATAAGTAGATTTATAAATAGTTATAAACCCATATGAATTCTATAGAAAGTGCTGGAACTTTCTCACCAAGGTCTTTTCTTATTTTCTAAAACTAATTTTAGTAAAAGAGTAATATGAAACTTGTTTACTTGTAACAGTGTGGATGGTAGTAACGAGGATGAAGAACAGATTAGTGAAGTAGATCATGCCAAAGCCGTAGCAGAAGCTTTTGGTAAATCTTCCAGTAGCAAGAAGGCTTCTTCTTTGTCGATGGAGGTTTATGAGGTAGCTTCTGGACTGAAAGAACTCGACATGGATAACTATGATAATGAGGATGATGGTACGTTCACCGAACAGAGTTTTGCCACATTGATCATTTCCATATGTAGAAGTTACCTTCTTTTTTGGTTGTTGTATTGGGTTTAGAATTCAACTCTTCAGCTCTGGGCTTGGGGATCTTTAGTAATGAGTTGGATCCTTATATGAATGATGCTGCTGTAAGCTAACATCACTGTTTGTTTTTCATTTGAAACTTTCAAAGTTTCTGTATGGAATATAAAACTTTTAACTCTTTTTAGGTGCTACCTTGTGCACAACTAGGGAAAATAGAGTAGATAAAGATTAGTAAGAAAAAGAAGAATAAGAAAGATAAGATTAACAAGCAAGCGTGACACATGCCTCAAGTCGTCTATAGTTCTATGGAAAGTTCTATGTATCTGTTCATATAATTCTGCTGTCTTTGTTCCTTTATAGAAATACAAGGAAGGTAGCCACACAAATTCAGTACTTGGTCTTGCTTGGAACAAGGAGTTTCGGTATGTTTAAGCTAACACTAGTGCACATGATTGTAAGTTTCCTCTGGTTTGCTCTCTAAAAAATGTCTGATTTTCTTTTGTATTTTATTTGGTAAAAAAATGAATATACTGGCTAGTGCTAGCGAAGCGCCGACAGAAAGGTTAAGGTTTGGGATGTGGCTACTGGCCAATGTAAGATTACTATGGAGCATCACACAAGGAGGTAAGAACATGACTCATAAAACAATCAATCCCTTTATTATGTTTCAGACATCCTCGTGGTTTGTTTTGGTTTACAGGTTCAAGCAGTTGCTTGCAACCATTATGCTCCAGAAGTGCTTCTCAGTGGGTCATTTGATCAGAGACAATTATGATTAATATGAGTTTGTATATTATGTTGTAGAAAGATCGAAGATAGCCTTCACACTCGGGTTTCAAATGGTCTGTCATATCTGATGTCGAAAAAGCTTAGTCTGGAATCCCCACTGCGAACATTCCTTTGTGGTGAGTTACATTTTACTTTGCTCCTATTACAGACATTCTGATGTTACAGTATTTTAAAACATTTTCTAACCAAATGTCTCTCATAGGTAAGTCTTGAGGATGGAACCGTGAAAAGTTTTGACATACGCGCTGCACAGTCAGGTTCAGATTCTGATTTAAGACAAAGTTTCACTATCCAAGCGCATGACCAAGACAAAGGATTCTCCATCTCATACAACGTTTCTTCACCCAACGTTCCTTTATCTCTCTCTCTCTCTTACTGCCCTTAAAACATTTCATTCTTTTGGTTTCTGTTATCAGTTCTTACCATTAATGAGCTACATCTAACACCTTTTGGCTACGGGTTCGATGGATAAAACGGCAAAAACTTTGGGACCTTTCGAACGATGAGCCATTATGCATTGCTTCGCATAAACCAAAAGCTGTAAGAACCAACCAAACATAAAATCTGTTTTGCTTCCCAGGTAGCTTTTTGCTTATGTATTCACCAGGGAGTTGTATTCTCCATTTCTTTCTCAGTGGAACCCTTTCTTGCTCGCTGTCCACTGATAGTTTTTTTATAGTAGATAGTTCAACACAGGGTAAACTAATACAAAATCACTTCTTTTTTATTAGGGAATAGAAGCTTAGCTTCATGTAGGGGTGGGACGGATCCGGATATCCGAGAAATTTGAAGTATTCGGATTTGGATCCGGATTCGCAGAATTCGTGATTTTAGTATCTGGATTCGGATCCGTGTCTTTCGTATATCCGGACTTCGGATATTCGTCTAGATATTGTGGTATCCAAGGGTATCCGAATTCGGTTCCGGATCCGTAAAGATAAATTAAAAAATTAAAAAAAAATTCTAAAAATAATACATAAACTAAATATTTATGCGTAACTTATGAATATATATATGACATATAATATTGTTTATATAAAAGTAGAATATTATTAAACTTATTTTTATGTATAAATATTAATATATCAGATATAATTAATAATAAATAAATAAAAAAATATTTTTTAAAATACGGATCCGAATCCGGATATCCGAACCTAAAAATTAAGATATTCGGATCCGAATTGGGTTTGCACGGATCCGAGATTTTACTATCCGGATTTGGATCCGGACACCTCTGGATATCCTAATTTCAGAGCGGATCACGGATCAAATCCGGATCCCGGATAAAAATTCCAACCCTAACTTTATGTTTGCAAGTTTTGGATATACTATTGGATGCTAATGTCTCCCGCAAATATGGGAGCAATCAATTTTGAAACCCCACAAGGATCACTTGTTTCTTTGAAGCTGTTATAATAGTCGTTAGATTCTATGCCAGAGTTTTGCAGTTTCTTTTCTGTTTTTTTTTTAATTTGTTTGAATTCTTAAGATTAGTAGAGCATTTTTCAAGAAGCTCTAAGTTTATATTATCACATATTTACATTTATTATATATGTTCACTTTGTGCGTTGTAAAATGATGAAATTAGGAAAAATCCATGCTTAAAAGTCCACCTTTCTGTCACCCCACCCGAGTTTGATTCCACTAAGTAGCGTTGCTCCGTGTTGTATAATAGCCATAGACTGGGACTGCTGACAGAAAATGATACAATGAAAACTAGCATTTCCAATTGTTGTGTTTGAAAGAATTTTACTACTACGCCAAAATTTTAGCAAAAGAAAAAAAGAAAAGAATTTTACTACTACGTAGTGAATTTTGGCAAAGTGAAAATATAAATAATCAATAACAAAATCAATAAATATATTTTCTTTAGGGTAATGGAATACATTAAAAGCAGTTTTCTTTTAAAAAAAAACATTAAAAGCAGTTTGGCATCTTACAATGAAACGACGGTATAGGACGTATGCATGTATCACTAGATGAATTCATATGACGGATAGATTGTTGTGGAAGTACGTATACATGACGTTTTTCTTTTGGAGACTTTCGAAAAACTAGTCATGCTACATTAATCCAAACTCTATACCATAGAGCACACTTGGATTTGAATTTAATACTTGAAGAAGCCCACGCAATAAATTAGGGAACCATGATTAGGTTATAAACGACTTCTACGACAGTAGGTAATTAATTTCAACAGAAAACCATAAACAGTTATGTCTAGTAATTAAGTCGTTGTCTGCCACAAAACTCATGAAATCTTAACTAACCCCTTTTATGTTCATGGCTATAGAGTCAAAAAGCCTAAGATCTTCACAAGATTAAAAGTATTGAGTAACTGTTAGTATGTGTCCGTAGCAACTAAAGGTGGTCACTTTATTATGTTGTTTAGTCAAATATAGCATATATGAATCAATACGTTTAACTCTCAAGGAAGAGAATGATCTACGCAACAATGTACATATGCATATTTATTTTTTGTGAGCTTCACTTATCTAATTATGTTTCTGATTTTGTCGTTCTGATTTTTTTTAGCTAAAAATGTAGTATACAACTTTTAGGTTATCTCTAACTTCACTTTGTGTGTCCTTGCAGTTGAGTTAACAACACATATATAGTGTTTACGTGACGGGTTTTAATTAATTAATAATCATCTATCTGTGATCTGCATTTCCTATTGGGAATTAATTTGGATTCTTTCATATGTCTGGAATACACTTAGGTTAATCAAAAAAAATTAATAATCCATATTAACATAAAAACATTGGATTTTACAAATAGTCAATTTTGTTCTAAAACCGAATGCATAGCCATGTGGGAATGGGATCACCGTTGGAGGTAAATGTAAATAGTGGGAGGTTAGAGATTCCGCATGCGCACTGGAAACTACTATAACCAGTCACTTTTAAAGTACTCAGTTTTCGTTATGGTTGATCATTATTCATAATCATAATAAAGTCTTTATTTTTGTTAAGTTTTATTTATATAATACTACTATTTAATTGAAAATTTCAACCTCAATGGACGACTTCAAAGTCTCGTTTTAAAAGAAACTTATGTCAATGACAATATTATTAGTTATCTTCTCGGCCAATAACAGTAGATCGCGATATGAGTAACATTGACATACTTATTATGAATTCAAGACGACATTGTGCATTCAATAGATTCATTCCTTTTTTCTAGCTTTCGTCAGTCGTCACTTATTATTCCGTTGATCTGACGATATTTACTCTCTCCAGCTTTATGAAATTTCTTTCTAGACATTGTATGCCAACCAAATGAATCAATCTATATCCTTTTCTTAACTGAAATAGTTTTGGAACGTTTTACTTATAATCTTATCATATGCTAAACAAAATAAATCGGGGTTAGTTAAGGGCCAAAAGAATACAAGTTTCGGTCGAAAAGGGTTGTTAAGGTGTATAAATTGACACTGTATGTCTCTCAATAATGTAATCTTTAGTAGAACTTGATTTAATACTATATAAATCAAACAGAGACAAGGTTATGGAAATTTCTTGGGCAGTGGATTGCCTTAAAACAATACCATCTTTAAATCTTCCAGGGCCTCAGCTGGTACGTTTTGCCTACAACTTAATTACTAGTCCGATATCGATACTCATCATTTAGCCAAAATCATATTTGATACTCTGTTGCAAGAAGATGTTGATGTTTGGAGTATGCGGTACAGGAGGAAATTAGGATGGCTAAAGGCATCTCCAACCGTACTCCATTTTCTATTCTAAGGACATCTTACACATTATTTCATTTTGGAGTTAAACTTTTTAATTTATGAAATAGTCTTTTAACTCTCTAATGTTCTTATTTCTTACTTAAATCATATTTTTTAAAAATATAATAGAATGAAAAAGATATTTCATTATTTAATAATTTGACATAAAAATGTATAGCATAATTATAAACATAAATATTAAATAAAAATAAAAATAACATAAAATAAGTAATTTAATAAGCTAGCAAATCATTTCCGGACCCGTTAAGACAGGTGAAGTATTGCCCAAGCGACGAAGATTGAGAAAGAGTTGTTGATCTTGTGACTCAGCATTTTGTTTTGATGTTATTTTCATTTGTTGAGTTTGAATATACGCACATACATTCGGATCTTGTATGGAACTCAAACTACAAAACAAAATTTTGTTTTCTTCTTTCAGCGCATTATTTTGTTTTGACTGGAGCATCATTTCTGCACTTGACTTCTTTAATTGTTTCAAGAGTTGTTTATTTTTTTCTTCTAAGGATTTTATAACCATTGATGTTTGATCATCGAGTTTTCTTTTTATTTTTGACTTTTTCACCCCACTTGGACATTGAGAAGAAGATCCATTGATAATCTCGTCGTCATCGTGTTTTGAGAAAATAAAAATAAACTTGGAGATACTTGTGTCGGAGAACTAATGACATGATCATTAGGAGAGGTGTCACCATACGTAAAAAATTTCAGAGTTTTTAATCATATTCCAAACATGATCAAATTTCCAACCCTTTTTGAATTCTGGATCTTCATTTAACATAATTTTGGTTTGATTAAACTGCATATCTTAAGAATAAAAATTAATAATTTGAAAAGATTAACAAATTTATAAACTATAAAGTAATACTTACAATATCATTATTTGAAACACTACTAAGATGTTGATTTTCGCATTGTCTGATACTTGCATACAGTTTTTTGTTGCTTTTTCAATAGTTTGAATTTGAGATTAGATAAATCTTTTTGTACGCTCACGCCAAGTTGTCTTCCTTCTATTTTTATAACCTTTCATCACACGAGACAAAAACATATCAGATAACTGGTATGCACATTTAATTGGATCTTGAGAAGAGAAGCTCCACCTCCAGATATCGAAATTGCAGAAGATGACAACGTTCGATTTCAAAATTTTATTGCTCGATTTGGGAGTATCAAAGATAAAGAAACTCATTTTTCATTACGAAATTTATGAGCTGGTCATTTGTGGAAAAAATTATTCTAATGCTCATTATTGAACCAGCTTATATTGTGTTTATTGTATTTTTATGATTTTGTATCTTTTAATAATAAAAGTTTACTTTAAATAAATTATATTTTAAGGCATTTTTATAAACACAAAATAGCTGGAATTAATTGGTAAAATTTTATAAATATAAAGTATTATTAACAATTATTAATTATTTTTGGAATAAAAAATAGAGTAATACATTAGAGTAAAACATTACTCCATTTTGGAGTTGCACTGTTTTGAAGTAAAATATAGAGTAATACATTGAAAATGCTCTAAACCTACTGTAGATAGCGTTTTTTATCTTATATTGTTCGCAATGGTTCGTGATGGCTTGAGTAACTCATTTTATTTTTTATTTTTTTTTTAAATTAAGAGGTCATACACCAAATTTCACTTATTTATATCCATTCCAGGACCTGCTGCTATCCCAACAA